TATATACTGTATATATATATATATATAGAATACTTTTATTCTGCAAGGATGCAATAAATTGATCAAAATAAGCGCTGTTCTTTTGAACGTTCTTTTTATCAGAGTACGAATCACAGCACAACTATAACATTGATAATAATAAGAAATGTTCAAAAACAAATTCATCTTTTCCATCACAGGAATAAATTGTATTTTAAAATATATTAAAATAGAAAAGAGTTGTTTTAATTTGCAGTAGTATTTCACAATATTATAGTGGTTTATTGAATTTTTGATCAAAATAATGCAGCCTTGGCGAACATAAGACATTTACTGACACCAAACTTTTGTTTGTAGTTTATATTACAGATACTTAAAAGAATGCAGTATTTAAAGATATTGATATTTAATGACTGAGAAATCACAGTACTGATAATGAAGTACTTATGTGTGCCTGTATCTAATAATAAGCCTGAAAGTATTTTCAATTGAATATTTTGACAGTGATTCAGAATGACAAGTTAGTGCTAATGAAGTCAAGACTCTTCTCAAAAATCACATCTGTTTGACATCTGTAAAAAGTTGTAAAGACAGGTGGGAAGAGGAGGGGATTTTGTGATGGGATTGAGAGCATGTTTCCTTGATCTTGCCCAGCTTACAAAGAACACGCTGGAGTGAAGGATCTTAGAAACATCTGTTTTTGTCTGTGTGGTGTGAAGTGCTTGCCAGATGATGTTCTAATGCTCGATATATGCTCCTTATGCCATGCTTCATCTCGTCCCACTTTAGCTTTTAAACTATATGTTAATTAAAGTCTTGACTGAAGGGATGCAAATAATATAAAGAATGCATAAATTAACTTCTTGTTTTACTATACAGGTTGGTTAGGTGGGAAAATAAGAGACACTGAGGCGGAATAATGCATGTTACATTTTAAAATGTATACAGAACAATGTATTGTATTATTATTTTTGTGGCATGGGTTTGATTCCCAGGGACTGCATGAACAGATTCAAAATGTGTACTTTGAATGCAACGTAAGTCTGTTTGGATAAAAGTGTCTGCCAAATGCATAAATGTAAATGTGTCATAATTAATGAAATGGTCTATTTATTAGGTATTATAAAAATATGACTGAATAAAAAATGATTACAATTTTTGTTATTAAAAAAATCATTTGAAATTGTAGTCTGCAAAATAATTTTCTTCTTTTTTTTCTAATCCTTCATTAACCATGTTGTTATTGATCAGTTTTGACAAGCTAGTTGAGGACATTTAGTTTTTGTAAACAAGGCCACCAGAAGACCCTGAATTAAAAAAAGATGTGTTCTGTCCATGATTTACTATGTCTCAGCCTGTCAAGATTTGACAATCATGTTACTATACACCCAGACCGTGTTTTCAGTACCTACACATTCAACGTTGTTACTGTAATTGTCAGAAGGTTCTTAAATTCTGAAATTATGTTCATAAACCTTATGTTGTTCAACCAGCATTAAAAAATAATGTCCATCATTGGGAAACCATTGATTTTGGGGGATTTTAAACATTAAAGTCTGTAAATAATTGAAAGCAACCTGTGCTTTCTAAGAGGTTGTTTGTTAAAATATGGATAAAATATTTATGAACAATAATAAACCACATATTTGTAACCATCTGGCCCTTGGTATTTTCGGACAACATAACTACAGTATTTTTTTAAATGGTCATAGATTTCTACAAACCCACTGTTCAGTGATAATGGTCTGTTTTAGTATGATGACTGCACCTGTGTTTGGCTTAGATGTAAATAGTTTCTTTTCACTGTTAAAGATTAGGCTACTCATAGTGTACATTTTTAAGGTTTTCTGTAATATTTTGCTCTTGATCAAAGGCTAAATTAAACTACCTTACTGCCCCTCTGTGGTTGGTTAATGACTTGATTTTGTTAATGTAGATCTGCTTAGTTTAGAAATATGTAATATGTACTCTCAGAATATTACTGACCAAAAAAAAAAAAACATGAACACCCTACTATGAATCATTATGTAAGTTTTATCTTGGGCCATTCATAAGTAACCTGCTGTACTGCGGGATTATTTTGTAAAAGCTTTTGATTTGGATGTATAGGTTATGTTTTTCAACTACAACAACTACAAACTGCATTAAAAAATTTTGATATGCCAACTTCTCAACCTTCTCGTGGTATTGCTGGTCAGATAGCTGTCTGGCTAAGGACACCAGCCCATCTCATTTTTAAAACCTGGCAGAACCAGAGATGAACTGGTTTGAAGCATTTGTCTCCGTTTGCAGTGAAGTGACCATGAATGTGATTTTAATTTTTTTAAGCCTGTCAATCACGTCCCTACCAAACTACTGTCAGAGCTCTGCTTCATCTCGTGTACGTATTATTAGCAGTAGGTGGCAGCACTAGCACAGAAACGCTTTTTGAACTGTAAAGTGTCAGTCTGTCACTGAAGCGGCCGGTGGCTCTCTAGGCTCACTCAGAAAAAGTCTTCGACCTCAGGAGGTAAGAGAGGAGTGCTGTAAAATGTATTATTTCCTATTACCAAACTTAATTTATGTGTAGTGAAAAGGTAATATACAAGTTAATATAACCACAAAAGAGAAACACAAAATCACAGTATGAATTTGAGCTTAAAACGTTTGAAATCTTATTAGTGTTATTTTATTTTCTTACTAAAATACAGCATTTGACTAATGTTATCAATATCTACAAAGATCAAATATCTACAAAGACTTGACATTACATTTTTGGTCTTTATTCGCATTCTTATCAACACCACTTTGTATGTTAATGTGTACAGACTGTGGTGGGAGCTGTTTTAAATTAGTGCATTTGCACTTCAATGGGAGATTATGACTTCATTTAGCTACTATATTCATGAGGCGCCGCTGTTTACAAGGCAATGAGACTCTGAAGAGTATTTAGTGCTTTTGAGAAGCACTTTTAAACGCTATAGCTTTGTATCTTATGTACATTTACATGTGTTTATTTAGCCAAATACAAAAAACATAATACTATATATTATATCCTATTAATAAGACTATATATATATATATCAGTGATGTATCAGTGGTGTGCGGTGGTGTTTTAAAATGAGGAGGCAGTTTTATATATAAATATTACATAAAAAGAGAACAAATATAATTCTATTTTGTATTTTATTAATATTATTATTATTATTATTTTTTATATTTGTAATACTAATTATACATTTCATAGTGTTTTTATGCATTTTTTATATTTATTCCAAAATAATAACTAAAGGCAGTAACAATTTAAACAATATTCTGGAAACAGTTTACAATAAGGTTTCAGTTAGTTAACTACTTTAGTTAACATGAACTAAGAATAAACAATAGCCTACTTCTACAGCATTTATTAATCTTAGCTCGTTACCAATATTTTTTATTTGTGAACTTATGTTCAGCTGTTCTTTTTAATAGTCAACTTATTTCGGGTCATCGTCGTAAAAGCTCTGTAAACACTGCCACAGACACGAAGATATATCTTTCATTTCATGATGCTGAATGCTCGCTAAAAACTGACGCAGTCATCACGTTTTCAGACCATTTCAAGTTTTATTGACGTGACACAAAGTGGTGGTATCTAAGCGGGAGAGTTGTTTAGGCTACTTACTTTATAATTAGTCAATAATGCCATCATTTTCTTCATTTAGACCGAGAGCTCGCACGAAAACAATCGTGTGATGTATCACAGGAACCAATCACATCCAACCTTAACCGATCATATCCAATTATAGCGCGACGGAGGCATTGCCTCCTCTCACGTGACTTTCCCCCATTCATCTCAATGAGCCTTCAGAAAAGTCACACGCTTTGGGGTCTCTGTAATGGCCGCGAAATCAGACGGTACAGCCGTTTCTTTGCAGAATGACATTCCGCCGACGTGCCTCCCTGGGCTGGAGAAGCGCTCTCCCCAGTGGCGTCCCGTCGGGAAGGAGTATTCGCTCCTGGACTGCTGCTGGACCCTCTGCGCCCTCTTGGTCTTTTTCTCGGACGGGGCTTCAGACCTGTGGCTGGCTGCCGACTACTATCTCAGGCGGGACTACTGGTGGTTCGCTCTGACACTCGTTTTTATCATCATTCCGTCTGTGGTGGTGCAGGTGCTCAGCTTCCGATGGTTCGCGTACGATTACTCCGACGCCAACGGGAGCGGCACGGCTGCGGCTGCCATGGTAGCGGCGTCCAATGCGGAGAGCCACTTCAGCACCAAGGACAGCGATCAGCGGGGCGCTGGCCGCTCCGCTGCGGTCACCGGATCCCGGAGCAGCGCTGAGAGCTGCTGCAGAGCCAGCGTGTGGCTCTTCCAAAGCGTCGTGCACGTTCTTCAGCTGGCACAGGTCTGGAGGTACGTGAGTGCATAGAACTCAGTATAATGAGATACAAATCTATAGTGCATTCCTTTGAGGTGTCACCTCAGCAGTTCATTCATAATTTTCTGTCATCATATGCCTTCCCTTGGCGTGCAACTAATCCACACCCACGCCTAGGGGTATTTAGGGCCATATGATTAAACTACTAAGATGGCAAGGTTTATGTTAAGAAAATACTATAGGAACAACTTTTGTTGCAGTGAATATTTATGTAGTTTGGCACAAATTGATTGAATTTAATAGGCTTTCATATTTGAAAGCACATATATTTCAGCAGGCCAAATATGTGACCCTGGACCACAAAACCAGTCTTAAGTCGCTGGGGTATATTTGTAACAATAGCCAAAAATGCATTGTATGGGTCAAAATTATAGATTTTTCTTGTTTTTTTTTCATGTTCCATAAAGATATTTTGTACATTTCCTACCGTAAATTTATCAAAACTTAATTTTTGATTAGTAATATGCATTGCTAGGGAATTAATTTGGATAACTTTAAAGGTGATTTTCTCAATATTTTGATTTTTTTGCATCCTCAGATTCCAGATTTTCAAATAGTTGTATCTTGACCAAATGTTTTCCTATCCTAACAAACCATACATCAATGGAAAGCTTATTTATTCAGCTTTCAGATTATGTATAAATCTCAATTTGGAAAAATTTACACTTAAGACTGGTTTTGTGGTCCAGGATCACATATAAGATGGTAATTTAAGAATCAGTCACTGGAACATACATTCAGTAAGTAGAGGTGTCTATGATGGGAAAATGACAACAGAAATGATGCAAGATATCACAGTATTCAACCTCACCGCTGTTAGTTTGCATCGCCTATGACTGTCCTGCAGTCATAGTGCGGAAACGGGATCCTCCTTGTATTTCCTGTCGTCCCATGCTAGTTCATCATTATCTCCAAGCTGTTTGTTTCTAGGCTCCTCCTCCTCTTCCTCCTCCACCTCTCATGAGCTTCTGGGTCAATAATCTCCCCGAGAGACTCCTCCACTCATTCAATCTGTCCACCAGAAATCGCCTTATGCACACTCTGAAAATCCCTTTGTCTTTAGAGCAGTGTAAAAGATTTTTTAAATATTACTTACTGATGCCATTGGTTTCATTTCAAATATAGCTGTGATGAATTAAAAATTTGTTTGGGTTTTTTCTGTCATTTATTTTTCTGTGTAAAGTAATAGTTCACCCATGAATGAAAATATACGGAAAATATACGGAAAACTGACTCAGGCCATCCAAGATGTAGATGAGTTTGTTTCTTCATTGGAACAGATTTGGAGAAATTTAGCATTACATCACTTGCTCACTAATGGATCCTCTGCAGTGAATGGGTGCCGTCAGAATGAGAGTCCAAACAGCTACAGTTAAAAACATTACAATAATCTACAAGTAAACCACACGACTCCAGTCCATAAATTAATGTAATTAATTAAATGAATGAAGTGAAAAGCTGCATGTGTGTAAGAAACAACTCCATCATCAAGAGTTTTTAACTTCAAACCTTTGCTTCCGGTTAAAATATGAGCCATCTCTCCATAATATTGCTTTCTCCAGTGAAGTTATCTTGTCTGAATCAGAAAAGAAATATTCACAGATCAACAAAAAACAGTTCTAAAATATGTCGGTGGATTTTAATGTGAGACAACAACAGGGAATTAACTTTTTCACTGGAGGAGGTGTTATAGGGATTATAAACTTGCATGATGGTTTATAGTTATAACACATTAATAATGGCAGCTTTTCACTTCACAAGATGTTAATTGATGGACTGGAGTCATCTACATTTTGGATGGCCTGAGGGTGAGTAATACATTTTCATTTTTGGGTAAACTACTCCTTTAATGGGGCCTGAGCTTTTTATATGCACCAGATTTTACCTAAAAGTTGACAAAGTCAAAAAGATGTTTATTTTTTTTTACAAGATAAGACTTGTTTCTGAACTGAGCTCAAAAAACAGTGACATTAGATTTTGCTCTTTTCGCTCAGTGTGGTTGCCATGAGCAGAATGTGTCTATCAAGTGCTAAGCATCTTGATTGCTGACAGACAGTGCGCTGCAACTCACAATGCAATTTCCATAATAATGCTGAGAAAAAAATTTGCAGCCCACGATCACAGCCAAAACTTTAATCCACTCACATATAAATCAATAGGAACACACCCACACATATTAGAGGCATGTGTAGGGAGTGAGCGCCGTGTAATTGTGGTTGTAAACACAGAGTCTGTGATGTGCTTGTCTTTCACTTCCTGCGTTGATCAGCAGTGACAGGTCGAGCTTCTGTGTGATTGGACCCTGCTGCTGGCTGACCCGCAGGGTAACACAGGGTTAGTGATGTTTTCTGCCATTGATATCACAAAGCTGCTGGTCATTTCAATCAAGCTTCATTTATGCTGCTGTCACAACACGTGTGCTGTGCTTCTCATGCCATCTGTGTCATTCTCTATCTGTTACTCAGCTTTTCATCAGACCTCTGCTCCTGACCTTTTTATTAGAAGATCCCTCCCCTACTTTTTTTTTATACCAAATTTACCATGATTGTTGCTGGGTGGTATGACAAACAATTTGTGTCACTGTATTTTTTTCTTTGACTGGACCATTATATAGGTTTATAGTGGCTCATTTTACTGTCAGGAGCACACAGAATATAAAAACATTACAATATTAATATTTATATTTAATTAATCTTTAACATTTTTAATACAATTATTAAATATAAGCAAATGAAAAAATATTAAGTTCCTTTCAATTTAATTCCTTTTTAATTTGATTTCATTTGGCATATTTATGGTTTAAATCAAAATATGGACAACAATGTTGTGGTATTCCTTAAAAAGAATATATTAATAATTTCTATTATTATTATTATTATTATTATTATTATTATTATTATTAAGAAGTACATTCTACTGTGCAACAGTAATATATTCCTGTCATAATTTCTTCAAGTTAGACCAAACTTTTATTGACAGGTTATAATGAAGACCTTTGCGTTTCTGTGTGTTTAAATAAATTGTATTATTATTATTATTAGTAGTAGTAGTAGTAGTAGTATTGCTTTAAGAAGTACATTCTATAGTGCAATAGTAATATATTTTTAATATAATTCTTTAAGGTAAACCAAAAGTTTGGGGTTTTATGACAGGTTGTCATGATGACCTTTGATTTTCTGTGTGTATATGATATGATGATGATAATTTTTATCAAATTAAATGGTGAAATGCTTGTGAAGTGACTCTCAGAGCAGCTCTGGAGATGAAGTTCATGTGTTCATGTAATAAGACGGCAGACGCTTTTCAGAAAGAGAATGAGGATATCTGCAATTCAAAACAAACCAGCCAGCCTGCAAATAAGGCACAATTGGGAAATAATTTTCATCTCATTTGAATAAATCGAACCATTATCCCTTTTTATTCACAAATTAGCCTAGAGACTTTTAGCCTAAGCCCTTCAGAGCTAAGTTCCTATGAATATATAATTAACTCAAAATATTTCCAGTGCCACTAACGAAAACATCATTGGCACTGCAGGCCAATGTCTAATGACATATCCTCTGCTCTTGCTTTGGCTCTTTCTATCAGTATAGCTAAGAATAGCACCTTTTAGGAAGCACATTTTGCCATTTTCATGTTACCTCTGTTTGACCTGCAATGGATTTCTTTCTGTTCTTCACCTCTCACTAGTAGCCTACTCTCTGACTGAGTCTTTGCTTAAAAGCTTCCGAGCAGAGCTTCCCAGGCTCTCTGCCTTTGTTTGATTGGAATTAGCAGTAATGACATTAAAGCTGCCACCGGCACTGAGCTTGTCACATCTCTGCATTACAGGGATTATAGCTGTAGTGTTTACATGTCCTTACCTGCAACAGACAGCCAGAGATTGAGAGAGCGCTGAGCTGCTGCAAAGAAGGACAGGTGAGGAATGAATGATAGGTGGAGAGTAGATGTGAAAATAAATGCCCATTTTTAGGGTTGAGATGCATGCTTGGGAGAATGATTGAGAGGGAGAATATGTGAAAACTGGGTGGTTTGATATGAAAATTAGCCATTATAAAGCAATTTCCCCTCATGGCTTTACATCAGACATAAAATAATGATACAACTATCTGATGCCAAATAAAATATTCTCTTTCTTACATTTTCGTTTAACCAAAGACTTCACTGAGCATTTTGAGTGAGCCCTATTCAAGAGTCCCCTCTGGGTACTCTGACCTGGTTCACTGCACACGTTCAAAGACAGTTTTCGATTCCATGTACCCTGCAGCATCAGATGAGCAGGATCAATCAGGACTAGTCACCACCCTCGAAGGTGAAAAGACACCTTTTACACAGAAAGAAATCACTACATGCGCTGCAAAATGTGTTTGTAGAACATAAAAAAATGAAGGCAACAGTTATAATTGGTTTACATGTTCATTTAGTCTTATTTAATTATTATAATAAATTTCTTGACTAACATTTAGTATCATAAAACATAACATTTTTGAACAATACTCCATCACTGAAAGCAATGATAATCTTGACACAATGGATTCAGCATGTTCATTAAAGTGAAGAGTCTTTCTGAATGATTCATAAAACAATAAATCATTTGTTTGTGAACTACACTACTTTCGCTGTTGGTTTTTGATTCACTAAAAAGTATCGAGTCATTTGTTTGTTTCAGGTGCGTTGCCATTTTGAGCATGCCAAAAGTGTGTTTAAATCCATGTTTGTTTGTTTTTTCAAAAGATTTATAAATACATAAGATTCAGACCTAAAGTGTGAGTGAGCAGGAGTGAAGGTGAAAAACACCAGTTTTAAAAACAGTCTCATCTGTGACAATGAGATAATTTGCAAGCACTGTGTGATCGATTCTCCCCTCTGGATACCAAAGTAAAACTCTACCGAGGGGAAGTGAGGACACATTCTAGAGGAGAGATAGGGGATGTCTGTTGCTGCAGGCCAAACAGCTTAATTCCTATTTGAGACAGCTTCCTGAGAGACGGTGCACTGGGATTAACTGTGACAAGGCAAGGAACCTAATAAAACTTAAGCTGTGGTTACTGTGTGTTTGATAAACCGAGGGAAGCTGTAGGGAGTGTGTGTTTTAGTGTGATTTAGGTTTGTGTTTGTTTGAAGTTATGTCTGGTTGAGCACTGATGGGATGAATTAAATACATTTAAAAGACAGAAATCTGAATATGTTTATGTATAAAGTATTTTTTGATGCTAATTCAAGAAAAAAACATTTTAAATGTCTTTACGTTCCTAAATTCTGTCTATTATGCATAAGAGGCGAAATATCAAGCTCTAATTACTTCATCACATTTTTTCCTATGTCTGAACTGACTTTCGTACTCAACTTTTTTTTTTTACTGAAAAAGACTATAATCTGGAAATGAAGGAACCCTTATCCATTTGTCTGCAGACGTCTGTCACATGTTGTGCATATTCTAAATATTATGTGTTCATTGAATGCATTAAATAATGCAGTTACTGAATGTTTGTAAAGCAATATAAATATAGATACAGATTATACCATCCTAAATTGATTGTACTGATCTTTCGCTTTCTCCCTAGCTGGTATAGTCCTACATTGATTTATACTCAATATTGTGAAATAGCTTTTAAATCTGGTTAAAGAACCTATAGAGAGTCAAAGACAGAAAGATTACAACAAAATTCTCCGATCACACTCTTGAGAAGGACAGCAAAGAATGAAAGAAATGTACTGTATATGGCGACAGGAAATAGAAAGCACTTCCATTTTCCTAATTCTGTTACATGATGACATGATCCAGTGTCTCAGCAGGGCTTAACTGTTCAATAAAATAAATGACAGCCTGAGTCCAGCCAACTGGAAATCTGATCTAGAGCTTTCTTTCTTTCTGCTGTCATTCTCAAGGGTGTGATCAGTGTTGTAATTTAGCAGAGAGGGGGAAATGTATTTAACTGACTTACAGGAACCCTGCCAGTTAATAGCTGCGTGCTGTTTGGCCAGCTGTGCCATCTGAGTAACCAAATGGGTCAATTGGCCATTCTGAATATTGCTGAATTCTAATGGAGTTTAATGGCAGGTGAACAGCAACATAATCATAATGAGGTGAGCCTGTTCTGACCTGTCTTTATAATAGAAAGTCCTTTTCAGAGGAAGCCTGAGTCTTTGCAAAACGCAGGCCTAGCAGATGATTGTCTCCAATTGGGTTATATTAAACTAAGTAATGGGCCAAGCTTGTCAGCTGCAATGTTTGCCAGTCATCACCATGGAGACTGATGCATTGCCTGCCAATCGTGGCTATTTGAGAGATGTTTTCTCAGCTGTAGCGATGCCTATTTGTTCACATTTTCCAATTTTTTCTTGAAGAAAAAAAAATAGTTGCATGGTCAAGGTTCAAGGTTTGATTTTGTCTGATATCATCCGTGTGCCCTTAGGCTGAATTTTACGAGCAAAGAGAGCTTTTCTGTCTCATTGAAAACATACTCTTTATTTAGAGAAAGAAAGACTCTGTGTCACTTGTCAAATTTGAGGCACGCTCGCTGACAGCCATTCTCGCAGGCACTCTATTGCTTAATTTTTCTTTTAGAGGCTGTTTTTTTTCTCACACAGCAAGTTGTGAGAAGGATGGGGAGCAATTTTATAGACCTCATCAAGTCAGGGTGATTCATTCTGCCAATCTCCTGACATCCGGCGAGCACTTCTATTACTCTCGCTACCCTTGAGACAGACTGAAAAATCATGGCACTTCCTGTCAAAAGAAACAAATTAAGTCCAGTGAAAGTCAGATTTTTCAAGGGCCTCACATAAATATCATTCGAATTCACAGCTGCAGGTTTTGCTTCATATCTTCCAAAAGTCATGCACTCTCTACTTTCTTCTGGCACTTACATCCTTCTCACAGGATAAACAGTGCAGTCCTGGGGTCGTAAATCAGGAAATTTGAAATAAGGAGAGTAAGAGACAGTGATCCCTCCTGAGAAAACATGCTCACTGACATCCGTGTGATCTCAAGTGCGACCTTGGTGTGTCTCAAGACATCTGCAACAGCATGTAGACTGTGGTGCTGAGGGTAGAACATCACATGCTGGAGCACTCGATGGTGCGCTGGTAGTCTGCCCAGACAAGTGTACTGCCTTTTTCAGCTGGTCACAGTGACATTATAAGCAGACTCTAGGTCTTTTCCAAGCCTGCAGACTGGCATCAAGGTTATATGGAATTCCGAAAGAGAAAATAAGTCCCTTATGCTCACCAAGGCAGCATTTATTTGATCAAAAATACAGTAAAAACTGTAATGTTGTGAAATATTACTACAGTTAAAAATAACTGCTTTCTATTTGTTTCTATATGTTTTAAAATGTAACTTATTTCTGTGATGCAAAGCTGAATTTTAAGCAGCCATTACTCAGTCTTCAGTGTCACATGATCCAGAAATCACTTCAAAAGAACAGCATTTATTTTAAAAATAGAAATCTTTTGTAACATTATAAATGTATTTTGATCAATTTAATGTGCCCTTGTATTACTATCTTTCTTTCTTTTCTTTATTTTTCTCTTACACAGTCTTGCACAAAACTGGTAATGCACTGTAGTGTAGTGATGGTAGTGTACCATGGTTTCCACAGAAATATTAAGCAGCAAAACATCGATTTCAAAATGCATGATAATAATATGAAATGTTTCTTAAGCACTAAATTAGCATATTAGAATGATTTCTGAAGGATCATGTGACACTGAAGACTGGAGTAATGATGCTAAAAATTCAGCTTTGCCATCACAGGAATAAATTAAAATTTTAAACATATTCTAATAGTAAACAGTGATTTTTAATTGTAAAAAGATTTTACAATCTTACTGTTTTTAAAGTATTTTTCATAAAATAAATGCAGCCTTGGTAAGCTCTCTCTTTCAAAAAAAAAAACACATTTTCCAAACTTTTGACCACTAGTGTAATTTAGCATTTTCTGATGCAAGTTTTGGTGATGTGTTTAGAAATGATCTGGAGGTCTTATCCTGTGCTTTTTACCCCAGGTATGTCCATGCCTTATATCTGGGCGTGCAAAGCCGCTGGCGTGGGGACCACGAGCACAAACACTTCTACTGGCGTACGATGTTTGAGAACGCTGACATCAGCATGCTGAGGTTGCTTGAGACCTTCCTGAAGAGCGCACCTCAGCTCGTTCTGCAACTCAGCATTATGGTCCAGACCGGCCAGGTCCTCCCTTTGCAGGGTAAGTTGATGACACCTCTGATTAAAAACAGCTCACCAAGTATGCTAGAATAAGTTGGGCCTGTGCTATTTGTCTGTATCATATGCATTATATTCATATTTCATCAATAGTTTTGAGCCAGACAGTGACAGTAAATTTTTATCACTAAGAACCACCCACTTAGACAAGAAGATATAAGATATAGAAGATAAAAATATAAAGCTACCAATCACAGTTTGTTTTGTCTTTATGGGCACAGCTTCATAATCAGACTTCAAAAGGTAGAAGTATTGAATGTAACATTTTTCTAACATAATTTACTATTTTAATGTTTGACGTCAGTAAAAGATTTTAATGTTTTTGAAAGACCCTTATAATCACCAAGACTACATTTATTTGATAATAAATGCAGGTAAAACATTAATATTGTGAAATTTTATAACAATTTTAAATAACATATATTTTAATGTGTTAAAATGTCATTTATTCCTGTGATGAATTTTCAGCATCATTATTCCAGTCTTCAGTGTCACATGATCCTTCACTAATCATTCTAATATGCTGATTTGCTGCTCAAGAAACAATTATTATTATCATTGTTGAAAATAGTTGTGCTGCTTAATATTTTTGTTGAAACCATGATGCCTTTTTTCAGAATAAAACATTTTTACTGTCACTTTTGTAACTACAGAAAACAACAAAGAATAATATACACTTCTGTTTTGAAATGTCTTTCTTTGAAAATATTAAACATCTTTCAAAGTTTTGATGCCACTAACTTTGCAGACTTTTATAAATGCAGAGATTAGATAGTTCTTCAAAAGTCTTGTTAGCAGCACTTTTTTCAGAAATATTGATGAGACAGCCTGTGCCTTTACTACCAGAATTTGCACAACGCCAGCCAATCAGATTAAAACTGATGATTTCAACCTATTTTTTGAGTGCACTATACATCAGACGGTCAGAAAACGTGCTGTGGGTGGACTGTGGGCGTACTGTCTGGGACTGAGAGACTACTACATCAGTCACCCAATCTGTCATACTGCTATACACCAGGTCACAGAGTACAGAGTTTGATTCAATGTCTTTCTTGCAGTGTGATTTCTGTATTGCATCTAATTTAAATGTGACACAATAAGAATTGTTTTAGAAATTTATTTGGCCATCATTAAGGATCAAAGTGCAATTTCACAGCATGCATTTGCTACGCATCTCATTTTCAATCCAAGAGCAAATTAGCTGGTAAATTACTGAGGATGTGATAAGTGTGACTGAATATGAAAGACCACGGGTTGCATGCATACATATTTCAGGTCATTGTGCATGAAAATTTAAGCACTTTCATTAATGATTAAACTATCCAACAGCAGTTAAGATGCTTTTTTCTCATTGTTCCTTGGAAGAGTGCACTCCAACTTTGCAATGAGTAATCATAAAGAGATATAATTGAACATGAAAATGACAGTAATCAAAGGATCATTTAGAATATTACCCAATTAGATATTCATGTCAGTGTCTTCATAATGGTGACATGTTAAAATCATCTTTAATTGTGTAGTTTAATTGCTTCAGTCTATTTTTGGCTCTGTCAGAAGGGAACGGCACATGTGGTAGTTACAAACCCACCTGACAGGTGCCTTTGATTACAGAGCTGCGAGAACTCACTGTTGCATTAGTTCAGCTCCATGGGAACAATTGTCGCCACTGTTAGATGTTCCCTGAGGAATTTTATCCAAATGTCAAACCGCAAACTGTGACTTTTATAGAGCGCCCAGAGCTAGTTAACTAAAGGATGTGATTTTTGTTTAAAAAATGTAATTTCATGTGACATCCTTCTTTCTTTCCATGCCATTCGGACTAGAGTTTAGAGAGCTGCAGTATTTACTCTGTGGCAGCCCTACTCATATTACATTTATTCAGACTGCTGAAGGCCTCTTTTTCCAGAAAGATAAAAATTTACCTGAGGAGAGCCAAAATGTGATTCCACAACAAAGCATATCCAGTTCTCAGGAGATGAGCAGGGCACAGTCAGCAGTGTAGAGAATTCTGGCATCAGTGCAAGAGTGTTTCCTCTTGGTCTGTCCTGACCTGCACTTTTCCGGTCTGAAGACTGATATTATGATTAAAGTGCTTTGCTGGGTCTGTCATAATCGCTCATAATCATATTCAGTGCAATGCGAGACGGCTGGAGAACTAGCTAATGATTATGTTTTTGCTGATTAGGAGAGATTTTCCGTTTTGAATGCTCCTGACTAAATGGGTGAGCTGATGAATGGCCAGACAGGAACCTGATTAAATATTCATGAGAGCTTCTCGAGAGCGAGCGTACCAGCACTCAAACAGAATTTCATTTTTTTCCTGAGAGGGATGGTGAGGTGTACTGTCATTCTTCATATACTGTACAGACTCATCTGAATGGTTACACATTGGTATAGGTTTTGATTTGAAATAAACGAAGTATAAACCTTGCCTCTGTAGGTTTTGATTTGAAATGAATTTAAAGTATTTTATTGCTAAAGTATTCACTTTGTCTCTAATGTGTCTTGTAAAATTCCTTAAAAGAAATGAAAAAAGAAAGAAATTCATCGATTTTTGGCATGGCCTAAGTGTATAGTAGCTATAAAATGAATCACAATTATTTATTCCTTTTGGCAGCCTAAGTTTTAACAGTTGGTAATAAAGCCAAATCTTTTTTACGTTATAGCTATAGCTTACATTACTATAATAATGGGCTAAAAAACTAAATAGGTTACGCTTTAATTCAAGGTGTCCTTGTAATACATTTAAGTACTGAGTTAAATATTAATTAACTATGTACTTACTATATGGTTAGGGTTAGGATTAGGGTTACTTGCATGTACACTCTTAAAAATAAAGGTGCTTCACGATGCCATAGAAGAACCTTTTTGTCTAAATGGTTCCATAAAGAACCTTTAACATCTGAAGAACCTTTCTGTTTCACAAAAGGTTCTTTGTGGCAAAAGAAGGTTCTTCAGATTATAAAAAGATAAGAAAGAGATGGTTCTTTAAAGAACCTTTGACTCAATGGTTCTTTGTGGAACCAAAAATGGTTCTTCTATGGCATCGCTGTGAAGAACCTTTTAAGCACCTTTATTTTTAAGAGTGTAATTATACTACCACTAATTACAGTCAGGCAGCCATATCACCCTGTAGCCCAAGACTGGTTACTTACTGAAGCTGAGCAGGGTTGAGCCTGGTCAGTACCTGGATGGGAGACCTCCTGTGAAAACTAGGTTGCTGCTGGAAGAGGTGTTAGTGAGGCCAGCAGGGGGTGCTCACCCTGTGGTCTGTGTGGGTCCTAACGCCCCAGTATAGTGACGGGGACACTATACTGTCAAAAAACACTGTTAATGTGTTAACGTCTTCGGATGAGACGTTAAGCCGAGGTCCTGACTCTCTGTGGTCATTAAAAAATCCCAGGATGTCTTTCGAAAAGAGTAGAGGTGTGACCTCAGCATCCTGGCCAAATTTGCCCATTGGCCTCTGATCATCATGGCCTCCTAACAATCCCCTTATCTGCTGATTGGCTTCATCACTCTGTCTCCTCTCCACCAATAAGCTGGTGTGTGGTGGGCGTTCTGGCGCACTATGGCTGCCGTCGCATCATCCAGGTGGATGCTGCACACTGGTGGTGGATGAGGAGATACCCCCTGACAATGTAAAGCGCTTTGAGTGCCTAGAAAAGCGCTATATAAATGTAATTAATTATTATTATTATTATTATTATTATGAATAATTCATTGTTATTATAATAGTAAGTACATGTAACATGTAACAAGGACACCTTAAAATAAAGTGTTAACACAAAATATTGTCCACATATTTTAATTCAATTTTACTTTAGTCAGAGGCGGACAGTAACTAAGTACATTTACTTGAGTATTGTACTTAAGTACACTTTTTGAGTATCTGTACTTTACTTGAGTATTATTTTTTCTGGGAACTTATGACTTTAACTTCACTACATTTGAAAGACAAATATTGTACTTTTCACTCCACTACATTTCTATCAAGATCCTCGAAGTAGAAAGTCGTTACTCTGTAGCAGCTTTGAAAGTCAGTGGGTGATTTTTTCCTTCTCTAAAACATGACTTTAAAACTGTCTTTTTTTCAGACAGTTTATCAGTAATCACTCTTGTAGCCATTCTGTGTGTGACATCAAAGTACAGCGAGAGTGATTAGACAGCTTTAAAAAAAATTTGTTTTGATGTCAAATAAGTCTTGCTGTTTTGTTTTTTGTTAAAGCAGTGTTGCTGTTTATGGAGTAATATTTGACCAGCAGTATCTGTACTTTCACTTAAGTAATGGAATTGAGTACTTTGTCCACCTCTGACTTTAGTACAATAAAAATAAAAGATTTATTGTCAAATAACAAGAACAACAATAATATTAGTATTTCAAAAACATTATTATTATTATATATGATTTTTAATGATTTTTTTAATTTTATTATTAACATTTTTGTATTATATTTATTATATTTTATAGACCATGCCGTGTTAAACAATAGCCAAGTAGCTACTTGAGGCATACCTCCCCAAATATGTAATTTACATGTAAAATACAGTAATCAAATGGATGGTCATTTAGAATATTGCCTCATAAACTGTTAAAAGTTATCTAATGTTACCATGACTGTTACGGGACAAATGGTTTCAGGTGAGCTTGTGATTAGTGCAATGGAGCATGGGAAATATAATCCAGGGTGATGTGTAACAGTCTGTGTGGTGTGAGAGTCAATATAATGGGAGGGGTTGTCACCGATAGCCTTGTGGGCAGTGTGTTGACATGTAGCGCCATTGCGCTTCGGGCGTCCTGTGTTCGAGTCCCAGCTCGCGGACCTAACCCTTTCCTGATCCCATCCCCCCTTTCTCTCCCACTTCACTTTCTGTCTCACTGCTTCTGAATCAGCGACTGTAAGTATGTTTTGTTATTAGTTTAAGTATTTGCTATTGACTGTTCAAATGCGGAGGTGTGTGCGCGAGAGAGAGAGAGAGAGAGAGATAAAGAGAGAGAGAGAGAAAGAGAGAGAGAGCGAGAGAGAGCGCGAGAATATAAATTGGCAGAATACCTAAACACAGTGGCAGACCCTAAACTAAGAAAAGTCCTGACCATGTACAGACTCAGTGACCATAACCTCACTATAGAGACAGGCAGACACAGACAGACCTGGCTACCAAAAGAAGACAGATTGTGTCCACACTGCACACAACATGAAGTGGAAACAGAACTGCACTTTTTAACAACATGCCCTAATTATACACAAATTAGGGAAACATTCTTCCCCCAATTCACAAACCAGCACAAAGACTTCAACCAGATACAACAAAAGGACAAACTGGCTTACATTCTGGGAGAAACCTCAACAAGCTCTAACCTGGCTGCAAGGTAGCTACGTCAAGTCCTGCCATGATAAAAGGACGGGCAGTAGAACAGAACCACAAGTCACAGCCGGAAGAAAACACTGTACAACACACATAAACTGACATGACAGGATCCAGTCCTTCTCCTGTCTCTTTATTAGTACTTTCAAACATATTCTGTTACACCAAATACACAAAATAATGATCTTTAAAAAAGCATCATATGACCCCTTTAAAATATAATGGGAGGGCGACCTCTGGTGGCAAGCGGACGGAAGTTCATGGACAGGATTCGTGACAATGACAATGAAAGATACACTTTAAAATTAATAGAAAGTAAATATTGTCCACATAATATTATAAAATAATATTATATAATAAAAATAATAATAAAAATAATTTATAATAAAAGTCTAAATAAGTATTTTTATATTATTTAATATAATTCATTATTTATAGTTACTGGATATTTATTATTTTATAGACCATGCGGTTTTAACCAATAGCCAAGTAGCTACTTAGATGTCCTCCCTAGTACACTGAAACACCATCTAACTATCCAAGAACCCAACTCATACTTACTCCAGCAGTGTAATTAAATTTAATTAATGTACCATGTAAAGTGACCTATTTTCTCTCTGTCACTCTTTCTCATTGTGCTTCATTTGATCCAGGTTTGTCTGCGTCCGCCTCTCTAGTGTCTCTGGGCTGGATGATGGCGTCTTATCAGAAGGCATTACGGGACTCTCGTGATGACAAGCTCCCAATGTCGTATAAAGCAGTGGTGGTGAGCATGCTGTGGCACCTGTTCACAGTGGGAGCCCGCGCCATGGCCTTCGCCCTCTTCGTTTCCATTTTCCAGCTCTACTTCGGCATTTTCATCGTGGCCCACTGGTGCGCCATGACCTTCTGGATCATCCGAGGTGAGACGGACTTCTGCATGTCCAAGTGGGAGGAGATCATCTACAACATGATGGTGGGCATCGTGTACATATTCTGCTGGTTCAGCGTCCGTGAGGGCCCCACGCGGTGCCGTCTGCTTCTTTACAGCCTCATAATCCTGGGTGAAAATGTGGCCCTCACTGCCGTGTGGTACATATACCGCAGCCAGCGCTCTGCAGACTTTTATGCCGTGGTGGTGGTGTGTGTGGTGGCCTGTAGCTACGCCCTGGGCACATTTTTTATGTTTGTCTACTACTGCCTGTTGCACCCTGATGGCCCTGTGTCTGGGGCCTATATTGGATGTTGCGACGTCCAGGTGGGTGCTGTTTCAGATCCTTGTGTCTCATCACCCACCTCCGCTCCTCCTCCTCTGGATGCGGTGAGCAGCCCGCCGCGGACTCTGCAGAGGACTAAAGGAGGAGAGTCAGTACCAGGAGGAGACGTTGGAGAAGTTTTTAAGATGCGGACCCTTAAGGCCTCGCGAACTGCCGCGCCTCGCCTCACCCCAAGGACAGAGGGGCCGGTAATTCGTATCGACCTTCCCAGGAAGCAGTACCCAGCCTGGGACGCCCACTTCATTGATCGCAGGCTGCGAAAGACCATTTTGGTGCTGGAAGCCGCTTCTCCGGTCACACCGAGGATCCAGTACCGCTGTCTAGGCACACTGAAGGAAGTGATGGAATATGAGACGACAGTCTGAAACGTTTTATGTGTTAGTGTGCAGAAAAGTCAGTTGCGTCCAGCTTTATTTGGTGAAGAGGAAGAGTTTGTCAGATCTCCACATGACCCCTTATTGACTCTTCTTGTCATCTGTGGAAGCACATGATTCACAAGTGTCTAGAAAAGAGCCACCCTGTGGTGACTTTAGACATTACTATAGGTTATTGAGTTAGGAGGTTAGGCAGGGGGGTCTGGCCAAATGAATGAAAGAAAGCAGTGAGGCCACGGTAAATCTGTAATGAGCAAAACAACATATAAGTGTGGTACATTAACAGCAATGGTGCTTAAACACATCCTAAACACCGTTTCAGACCATCCTAGGTGTTTTTATATCTCTCGTGGCAGCTGCCGTAAACAACAAATACTGAATCCACTTGGTCGTAATTCTGTGGGTATTGAGGTTGTAGTAGGTGCAAGTAAAATTTGTGAGTTGTCTCATTAAAGGCCTTAAGACTTTCTTACATTTGGCTATTTAGCATCTGAAAGGTGCATTTCAGTCTGTTTAAACATTAGCGAATATATGAAAACAGTTTGTGTGTTAGATAATTGAAGGGTTGAGCTTCTGATAACATCTAGGCATTTTATTAAGCACAGAATTTGTTGCCTTCAAGAACAGGGATCAGACTTTGCAAGAAACACTCTTTAAGTTTAAAAAAAGAAACTGTTCACAGTTATCAAGGTCTCTTTTCAAGACATTTCCGCATACCTTTCAAGTGAAAAATTGCATATCACTGAAAAATGTGTCATTTTTTTTTTTTTTATGTTCTCAAAGGACATTTGTGTCATGATGGAAATAATGGGTCTGATGCTGAAAAAATGGCTGAGTGCACCTATAAAGAGAATTGAATGAATGTTCATCTCAAGGACAAAGAACCCTGCAAACCGGTTTATTATATGCCTGTAATATGAACGTATGGTTATACCACAGTATTTCAAATATGCCTAAGCTACGAGTTCACATTTTAAAGTACTTATGTGACAGCTGAAGGGAAAAAATCATATGGCATATGTTTACGTTTCAAAATAGTTCTCTTTTTAGGATTAATGAAAAGTTATCAGCATTATGATTATGCCATTTCATGTCATTTACATAATTTGGTTCAATAATACTCACAAATGTTTGGATAGTGAACATTTTGATGGATATGAACAAATCCATAGTGTCTTCTGTCTCTTTTATTTAACTTTGAAATTAAGGTAATGATACATTTGGTCATATCATCTAATAGCATCTACCAATTGATGAGAATGTATATTTTTACTCTGATCAAAACAGTAGCTATCTTTTCTTTCTTTCTAAAACAGAGGAGTGACCCTGTTGTGTACAAATAACTAAGAACATAGTATTTTGCATTGATTGCCTATTGGGCTGTTGAATAGAGAGAAGATGAATAATCCTTGGGTTTGTGCAGTGTTTACTGATATCATGTTATTGCTAAGTCCATTAACCCATTGTAACTATTTCACTTCTTGGCATAACCATTACGTATGTCCATTTGTGTTATCATGTTGGTGCTAGCTGGAACACCTCAGAACAGCCATGTACGCTGTACTTTATCAATGTGGATCATACTCGTTCACTCTGGTTAATGCTGGATTTTACCGTAGACAAGCTAAAAGACGTTAAGCCTTACACTGCACTTGCAAGACTGTTGCTGTCGACTGTAAAAAGGATGTCGATCTTCAACCATGTGTTTTATTTGGACAATAAAGAAAGCAAAATTGTGTGTTTACTGACCTGACCAAAGCATCAACTGAAAGAGTGTATTTTGTTTGCTTGTCATCTTAAATGAAATGAACACTGTGATATAGTAGCATTATACCGCAGTGTTTTTTTTTCATCTGAACGCTCATTCCAAAAATAAGTTACAGCCACTGTCTCACCCATTGATTTTTATTTGATGCAAACTGCACTCAAGTGCAAATCCAGCTGAATAGCAATGAGGAAGGTTCATATTAGATTTAAAGTCAGCTGGAAGACATTTTAACTACAACTTTACAAATAAGTAGATTAAGCCTTTTAAAACATTGATGCACACAGTCCATTCATTCACATCACAGGCACTAAATCAACATCCATAACACTATATTATGAAATACATTCATACAGCAATGCCATAATCTAGAGATGGCATTTAAAACTATTCCTTTTCACTATTTTGTTAAGTTGTAGACCCACTGTTAAAGGGGAAGTTCACCCAAAAATGAAAATTCTGTAATTAATTACTCACCCTCGAGTCATTCCAACCCATAAGACCTTGGTTCACATAACAACGGAACACAAATTAAGATATATTTGATTAAATCTGAGAGCTTTCCGACCCTGCATAGACAGCAACGGTACTACCACGTTCAAGGCCCAAGGTAGGAAGGACATTGTTAAAAAAGTCCATGTGACATCAGTGGTTCAACCTTAATTTTATGAAGCTACGAAAATACTTTTTGTGCGCAAACAAAACAAAAATGATTACCAACAATTTCTTCTCTTCCGTGTCAGTCAGTTCCGTGTTAGGAGCGAACTATAACCCTTTAAATTCAGAGGGTATGCATTTGTCTGGATTAGCTGTTAAAAATAAAACAAAATAAATAACTCTAGGAAATATTTTGAGCAGACTGATTAGACTAAGGTTAATTCCCCACAAACAGTGGACCAGTAGATTATGAAATATTAGCTCAAGCCTTATTACATAACATAATGTGGAACTGCAAGCGTATTGCAACATAGCAATTATAATAGTCTCAGCCATTCATTCCCTCAACAATCTTAAACAAATGCATTTTATGGATTTGGATAGCCTATGTATTTAAACAACATAAAGATAATTCTTTAGGAAGTAATTCTGAGGAATATTATTGCAAGTCTATTAAGAACTTCTGATTATGCTCCTGCTGCTAACATTTTATCTGAACAATCCGGAAATTGCTTTCCCCCCTGCTTTTATTTTTCCTATTTTATTATCCCACGAGCTGTTGCAGACATCACACTGCATATTTACATAACAGAATGAACCGTATAGATACCATACTTTAACTCCTGTAATGAGCTGTGCTGAAACTTAGAGCTCAGCAAAGGCTTATGCTAGCCAGCATTGAATTTACAGCATCATGTGGAGCAGATACATAAAGAGATTGCAAAAGTATAAAGACAAATGTCTAGTCAAACACTAGTGTGAATACAACTAGAAATTGCATAAACGAAAATTCATGATTGTGCTGACTCATAGACTGTACCACATTCAAGAAAATTTAGTTTTTGTTGCTACTGTGAAGATTTGTTGCTATTGTACATTTGTTTAGGCAAACATATTCCCTAAGAAATTAGATAGGATGCATACTGGGGGGCGCTTTCTGATAGTTAAGGGTGAAATGAATGCAGATTTTTTTATATCATTAATTTATAGAAATTAATATATCATTTTATATTATATAATTATAAAAACAATTACAAATAATAATATAATAATATACAAATAAAATAAATTAAAAATAAAATAATTATATAAATAATAATAATAATAATATACAAATATGTAAAATTATTCATCTCAAGTATCATTCTCATTAAAAAATATATTATTAATCAAAGACAGCAACAGATGTCTGTCATATTTCTTATGTCCTCCTGTACATTTGAAGCAAAATTATTGTACAAATTTATGAAACAAGCCCTCTTGTCCAATCCGCTGAGGCAAAGACTCATTTATATGCAAGTGTCCGTGATTTGAACCAATAGGGTGTCAGGGGGCGTGGCCAGCCCTCAGCCGGTCTGATAGGTCTGTCTGCTTTAAGCTTACTAACAGTAGAATGGCGGCCGCTGACTGCGGTCCTCGCGGCTGTCCGAGGACCAATTCAGCCAAACCACACAAAGAACACCTGCGGAAAAGCCGGGATTCCCGTCGCAGACAAGCAGCACTGTTGTTTCTCACAAATATATCTTTGGACGGAAGACCGGTTTACAACCTAAGCAATGGAATCGCTGGCCCCAGGGAAGCCGAGAGCCGGTGTGCGGATGTCGGCGCGGCGGCGGTGACGGGTCTCCCTCTGTCAACAACCAGCAGCTACGGAACATTCATCCAAGTGTCATCCTCCATCAGCGGGGGAGCAGCGACCCCTCTACCGAGGACTAACACTTACCCTGCTCCTCTGAGCCCTCCTCCAGCATTCAATCAAGGGAGCTGCGACGTTTTCACGGAGGATGGACAAACAGATCCTTTGTCAGTCCAGGCACCCCCGCTTTCACCGACCTCTGGACCGGTGAATCAGGTTTTAGGATCCAGTAAATCACCCGGCCAATTCCCGGGATCTAATCCTGTGCCTGATCCCAGCCAAAGGTGAGTTTTGTTTTTGTCATGCAGGTTGGCAAACAATGAAACGCGTTATGACATTTATTCAGCCGGTATTGTATGCATAAATTACACCATTCATAACACATAAGGAGTAAATGTGTGATGCAACCTTCTTTTGTAAAGGTGTTATCTGTTATAAACAATTATAAATATTATGATTATGAAAGCTATATGTTTATTCCCAAATCGTATCAAGGTTTTGATTTTGTGGATAGAACGTTTATCTGGCCTGTTGTTTACCAGTGTTTACATTCGATTATGACTTGAAGCAGTGTTACAAACAGTAGCCTACGTTACAATACGAGAAACAAAACAAAACAAAAACAGGTCTATAAAGGGAATTACTGACTTCCGCCTTATTGTCTACAACTTTCATTTTCATCTTTGAAGAGAGGTCTTGTTTTCTAGGCATGAATTTGACAGGAAATATTTCTGCGACATTTTTGATACCTGTTAAGATGAATAACGTTAGACCGGGGTTGGAATCTCTGGTTTTGAATCCTTAACGGATGCAGTTCTTGTGCAGTGCTTTAAATGAAAAATGTTTGGAAAAAATAAAGCCAAAACCATGTGTATCTGTAACTATTTTGTAAATCAGCTAACTTACATTGGTTTGCATCTCACGAGACATAACGTAACATGATCCATCTATTCTTGATATATTTTTGACATAAAGAAAATAATAATTTGCAGTTCATTAAGTGAGTCAGGTTAATTCAGTAATTATTTGACTGATTAACTCGGTGCGTTCCAAACGGG